ATTTTCCAATGCACATTACTCCAACAGTGAATTACTTTCACTGCTAAAAATCGGCATCTATTTCAAATGTGACTGGGTATAGTTTTATCCTCAACTAAAGGATCTTGTCATGTCTTTTTGGATACATTAGACATCTACCTACTTCCAAAAATCTCTTCCCCATGTACCTACTTGCAGACCGTGAGCAAGTTGCTCTCTTCAATAATCTAGACTGAAACTCCTTAGTCTCCCAGCAAGGAATATTTTCATAGTTTTACAGTAGCTAGGGTCAGGAGGGACCTGAACAGATCACCTAGCCTGACCCCCTGCCACAGGCAGGAATGAATGCTGGGTTCACACAAGACCCCAAGACATTAAATTCAAGACTTCAAATTCATTCTTGTAGTTCTTTTATGAACCTTTTCCAGTTTTTCATAAACTGGATGCATGAATAGCAAAATTGGAGTGGTATTCCATTAAACTCAGTCATTACTGAAGGATTCAGGGGCAATAATACCTTCCTACTTCTCTTGCTATCCCCATATATATCAATTTACCAATAGCATTATGTTAGAAGCTCACACGCCACTGGTAATCCGAAGTCAGGGTTCACACATATGGATCTGATCTTTAAAATATGACCTATATTCCTAGATGTATAGACTTGAATTTGTCTTTTTGAACCAGCATAACATGCTGATTAACTGAAATGACTGATAATTCCAAGTACAATATATTAACACAATTATTTATTTATGCATTAGGTTTTTATATGCCACCCTCCCCAACAACGTTCAGGACAACTTAGAATACGTGACTGAACAACTCACAAGATAGGAAACAACATCAATTATCTTTATCAAATTTGTAATCTCATTTTTAAAAAAATGAGCTGTATCACGATCTGTTTCTACAGAACCATGTTGACTGGCACGATTTCTTCTAATTCTTTAATGACTATGTCACTTATAAGTAGTCCCACAATTTTTCCTGGGAATTAATGTAGACTAACCCTACTGTTCACTATCAGAACCTTCCTAAATATTGGCAAAATTATTTTTTGTCTTCTAGAACATCAGAAAGATTAGAGCACTCATTTACTTCATATTCTTGGTTGCAAATCATCCAGTTCTACAGCTACAACAGTGCAAAAGCTATTTAGTAGTCTCCCTACTTCCAGAGAGAACAAAAAGTATTACATTATTACCATAATATATGGTTATGCAATTCTACTCCTTTCCAAATACAGAATGAAGAAATACAGGTAACCCGCACTGAGCGCTGCTTCACTTAGCGCTATTTCGCTACAACACTCATTTTAAATTGATACCTGATTTTACTTAGTGCTCAGCGAGTTTCGCTATAACGATCGTGGATGCCATCTTGGGTCATTAAAAACAACTGCAGTCACCATCCTGGGTTGTCAAATACTTTCAGTTTTGCTTAACACTCGCTTTGCTTGACGCTCAGTTTTTCAGGAAGCAATTAAGAGTGCTAAGCGGGGGTTGCTATTATATACTTCTATCTTTTCTGCATCATGGTTATATCTTGAACAGAAAGCCAGGGTCCAGAAAATCTAGTGTTCAAATGCTAGGAAAGGCACTCTGACCTCTGTAAGTACAGTACATTTGATTTTCACAGACCCCCATCTGCAAGAATACTACTAATAAAATACTACCAATAGAAATGGAAGATGAGCTCAGGGTAATGTTTTACTATTAATGATGGAGAACAGAGAGTAAGAATACAAAAGTCTGCAGAATACACAGCTGTGTTTCACTGAGATATTTTGACCTTGCCAGTGGCTACACCTCTGCTATTGTACAAATCCTTGCCCCCACTGGCAACGCGTAGCAGGTGCATGCGGGTGCACATGCACCCCGTGAGAGAAGTGCTGCCAACACTGCCAGCAGCGCCCACGGGCAGTTGCCAATTGCCACTGGCCACCGCCAACCACCACTCAGTACTCACCACTCCACCCCAGCCCCCCCTGCCACTGACACCGCTGCAGCCACCTGTGGGAGCTCCCCACTTGGCCTGCCCCCGCCACCACCACAGTTGCCTGTGGGAGCTCCCCGCTTGCTGCTGCAGGCCACCACCACCACCGCTGTTGCCTGCGGGCAGTCACTGTGCCTGCCCCAGCCTCCAAGGGCATGCATCGTTCATGCTTACCCCCACATTCATTTTCCTGCCCCCAGCTTTCATATAAAAGAAAGAGTGCGTTAAGCCCTCTTGGCTTCTTCTCTCAGCCCCAAAACATAACGGGGAGGTTTAATTAAGGTTCACACAAGTTTTATATAGAGTTTGAAAAGTGTAATAGCACTAAGCATCCTTTAAAAATAATACGATAGACTTGTACTAAATGACAGCTTGTTCACTTTGCCACAGAGAACAAGAGTTTTGCTGTCAGAACATTGGTGCGGCATTCCCAAGCACCATTCCTACAAAACCAGTGGTGAGAAGCACTTTTGTTCTGCCTCATCTTACCTCCACGGTTTTCAAGCAGGTATTGTCATTGTCAGATAAAAGTGCCCCATGTGCCTTATGCATACATGCTCACTTGCCTCTATCTCGACGACTTTAAAGCAGGCAGGAGGGCCAGCTAATGCTGCGGCCCTTCCTGGTCTG